ATTCTCTGCCCACGTATCAAATGTCGAACTCTAAGCAGAGATGACGTAGTTATTGGTTCAGCTTGTCCGAACGTTGGCACGCGCTTTTCAAAATGGATTAGCTCAGAAGTTGACATTGAATGACATAGCAAGGTTGTTTAGTTTAGCGTTGATTTGTGGATTGTGCCTTCATTGAAAGATGGAAGACGTATGGAACTTGGATGTAGCGTTCATCTCGCGCTGTTTCTCTTTTTTTTAATCTTTCATTTTGCTTTTGCCTTTGTTTAACGTATAAGGACTATTCGTATCTATCTGCTGAATATTGACATGAAAATGAATATCTAAAAACGTTTTTATTACATGCATTTTCTCTTAAAATGCCCATGTTCCTTGTTAGTTTGTTCCAAGGTTTCATTTATATATTAAAATCAACTGCTTCATTATTAAAGTATTTTAAATGATATTCCAATGGCTTACTTTAAATAATTATGTTTCTTTATTCATTATTCCGTGCTTTTTTTTATTTGGAAGCATTCATTTCTTCAAATTCCAGATTTTCTTTCTTTCCAGCTGTTTTTTACAGTTTATCAGCTTTTTGAAGGTCATTTAAAGCCAGAAAATATTTTTAGATTGTGAGAATACTCTGGGATATAATAATTATTTACTGCTACACGTCATACTTATTAACCCATAGCCGGGGAAGAATATAGGTGGATTCATAGGTTTCCAAAAGGTATTTTCGCGTAAGCTAATATAACGAACCCGACTGGAATTGGAAATCGGCTTTTCGATTTTCAGTTCCGAGCCGTATTCCATTACGCTAATGGCACATATCCAAGATTCCAACGCCTGGTATTCCTAAACGGTCATCATTATAACCAGACTCGATGCTTATCTCCGCTGATCGTAAGAGAAAGAAATGTCGCCGTCTTGTTAATAACTAATAATCACATTTTGTCACTGGTATTCAGATTAAGAGCGAAACGCAGGGTGAAACGGCAATTATTAAAATGTGCAATATTTATAATCATCGAAGACTTTTGCACTGTACTGTACAGAGGATAAGAAGTGCTATCTAAAATTACGAGGAATTTAATCCTGAAACAAATTAACGAACATCTATGTCGTTCCCTTGGGCTCGTATACTGCAAACCCACAAAGTGTTGCATCTGCATTGTACGTTGTTTCTGGCACGCTTTTCTAATTCTACGGAATTTTGGTCAACACTTCTTATACATTAAATGGAAATCACCTAATATGAGAAGCGTTCAGGCTATGGGAAAATCTCCGCGACTGGGCTCTATTGGATGGATAAGCCCAGAGGTTTGTACATTGGAGATATAAAGAAATTTCATTATTCCTTCGTTTGCTTATGCATAAATAACTGACGACAACCGTAGCAAAGAAATCATTGCGCGCAGCAGTATTTCACTAAATTCATCATTCACATTCTGTCAGGAAATCATTTGCAATTTTCCTCGACTTATTATTATTATTGTTATTATTATTATTATTTTCCCAGAGGCAATTTGGCTCCACTCTTTACCTTGTTGTCTGCTAAGTGTTCTTCTTCTACTTACTAAGTCGCCATTTCGATTAAACCACCTTTATCCTTGTGTCCTGTCTCTCTCTCCCTTTCTCTCTCTCTCTGTTATCTCCCTGAGGAAGAAAACAAATAATTCGTTTTCACTGGGAACAAGAAATACATTGAATCTCTCTCTCTCTCTCTCTCTCTCTCTCTCTCATATATATATATATATATATATATATATATATATATAGTACAGACGATCCTTAAAAATCCATTCGGTTATAACTTATTTTATCTCTTCAAACCGAGGTATTTTTTAATTTTCTAGACAAAAGGAAGAGGGAGAGCAAGAAAGAAAAAAAAAGCGAGGAAAGATTTATATTAAAAGAGAAAGAAAAAGAAAAAAAAATTCAATATAAGGTTTAAAATACTTGGAGTGGGGTAAATTTTCAAAATAAATCTATACCCAGCACATGGAAAAAAATAACCCACTACATAGAAAAAAAATATCCCCGTATATAGAAAAAACGTCTCCCTCTTCCTTTTGTCTGGACAAATTGACTCCATTTATTCGTTAAAAAAAAATTCGGTCGGAAATAAATTATAAGCGAATGGATTTTTAATGAACATCTGTACTTATTATTATTATTATATTTCTCTGTTTCTTACATTGAACTCTCTTTAGATTAATTTTCTCCTTGGAATTATCCCTACCTATTATCAACGGATATTATTTACTTACAGTTCTTACAGTCTACCAGAGAATTCAAATTCTTACCATTAAGAGAATGTTTTAGGATCGAAATAAGGGGTAATCTGAAGGTTCAAAGTCAGATGAGGCATCCAAGTCAAAATTATACCAATTTCAGCCAGAACTGCAAAGGGACCTATAGAATTTTGTAGGAATGTGCGTGTTCACATATAGACAAATAATGTAGAAGCAACAAAACTTCGGTTTCTACTATGGGCCTTCCATTCTTTTTTTTTTAAGAAACTGAATGGAAACAAAGTGCTCAATGTCCCCTGGGTATGTACCGTTTTTCTGGTATGGGTAAAATTACCGAGCTCAAGTGAGCTTTGCGCTGAGTTGGAACGATTAAAGTTCTTACTTCAAGGTTGAAGCTGCAAAAACACGCTCGGACGCTATGCGTTGAGAAGTGGAAATCGTCAGTCAACGGGGGAAAAGAGACGTTTCACGACGGGGACGTCTTCATTTGGCAATGCATCTTGGTGTAAGGGTAAGAAAAGGGAAAAGGAATGAAATGTTTTTTAAATGAAAATTCTTTTTATAGTACTTAAACAGCGGCACCTACTGGGATTTTGCCGAAGTCAAGTGAGGTAATAAAGTTTCCGCTTCTTTTATTACTAGAATCATGGGCAAATGCATTCTTTATTTATTTATTTATTTATTCATTATTCTATAAGATAACCGAAGTTAAGCAACGTCGAGTTTGGTTAGTACCTAGATCGGTGACCACTTGTGAATATCATGTGCTGTACGTTTGGATCTGTGGGTGATGTAAAGTATAAGGGCTCTGAATTAGAAATGGGAGAGGTTGAAATCGTTAAATTCACTTAGAAGAGGTGTGAATCGTTGGCATTTTTTCAAATTTCTAATTCTGTCTTTCCATTATTCCTGTTTTCTAAATATTACTGGTGCTTTTGTTATGTCTTTTATTTTTCATTTTTGCCCATTTTCCTTATAATGGCTGCTGGGTTAACATTAATAAAATAAATTAAAATAATCAGTGTAGAATTGCGCGTGCGACAAAGCAAGAATATGAAAAAACATATATTCTGTAATTTGTCTCATGCACATCAGAAGAGATAATTTCAGCTCGTTCTATAAGATATGGAGATGACATACGGTTAATAGTTGGTACGGAAAGTAAACTACAGACATAAAGAAGATAGTGACGGAAAACGCGAAGAAGGGACTAAGTATCAATTGTAAGAAGACAGAATGTATAGTTTTCAACAGAAGGAACAGCCCAAGATGTGAACTTTGAATTGGAGAACACAAAATCACGTAAGTACAAACATTTGAATATCTAGGTCTGGTTTCACAGAGGAAAGAAAATGCAACCCTGAAATCGGAAGGCTTATTGGGATAGCGAAATAAGCCTTTCAAACGCTAAGCAAACTATTAAGAAATAGGAAACAAAGAAAATGATTCGGGACCGTAATTTCGGTCCTCCTGGAAACATTAATGAAACTACAAGAACTAAAGAAGGTAGTGAAGGAAAGAGAGAAGAAAGGATTAACCGTCAATTGCAAGAAGACAAAATATATTGGTGTTAGCAAAAGGAACATACTACGTACAACTTACAAATTGGAGATAACAATATCAAATAAGTGCAACAATTCAAATATCTGGGAAATGTTTTAACAAAAGACGGAAAATGCGGCACGGAAATCAGAAGTCGCATAAGGATAGCCAAAGATGCCTTCCAAAAGCCAAACAAAGTATTAAGTAATACGAAAAATTCATTACAAACAAAACTATAATATCCATGAGAGTGAATGCCGAATAATCTCACAGACTGAACATATAAGCAACAACGAAATTTTAGAGAAAATAGAAACAAAAAGGAAACTTATACTTAGAATAATAAGAAAGAGTAAGTTGAAAGTTTTAGTGCGCATAATGAGGAAAGAGGGCTTGGAAAATCTAAAGCTCATATGTCATGTTAAAGGCTATAGCGACAGAGGAAATCAGAGAATAATGAGCTTGTGTAAATGGTTGGTAGAAAAAGTGTTAAAAAGGTTAGCAAAAAGATAACAATTACGAAGTGAGACCCAAAATTGTGGATGACCATAATCGCCCACGCCCTGAAGCGACACGGTAGTTAGGAAAAGATGGATTTGATTAAGAGCCAAAACAGATACTTCGACTTAGGAAAAATTATTTTATAAGGTTAAAGGTGAAAGATATAAAGATAATTTATTGTTTGTCCCAAGCGTTAAAATCTCCTCCGGTTCCCGCTGCATAGGAATAACGCCTTCTGATGATTTATATGAAAAACTACTTGAATTGAAATAACAATATTTTAGTAGAATCTTCCCGTGTTTCAGTGTAAAACTGCCCGATGATAAATAGCAAACATTGTGTCGATGTCGTTCGGTGGCTCACGCTTATTAACCAAAGAATCGAACCAAATAAGTTTTACTGAGAAATTCATCAAAGTACAACTGCTAGAAATATCGTAGGATATTTCACGGTTTTCCTATTTTTATTTTCTGAGGAATCACAATTCGTCATTTAAGGAACGATCAAACTCTTTGAGACTTCTACAACTATAAAATACTCATTGCAATTCCCCCATTACATCGTTAAACATCGAAACTTAACAACTTTAGCGGCATGATAAGTAACATAAATATGAATACAGGATATATTATTTAAAGAAGGAAAAGTGTACACGAGAAAAGTGCCAAAAATTGACAATATTTTTCCATTTCACAGTAGCAAATATTAAACGTATAATAGCGTTATCGTTTCCTCTCTTTCATTTCTTTCTTCCTTTCTTTGTTATCATTTCCTCTCTCTCATTTCTTCCTTTCTTTCTTTCTTTATTATCGTTTCCTCTCTATCATTCATTCCTTTCTTTCTTTCTTTCTTTCTTATCGTTTCCTCTCTCTCTCATTTCTTCCTTTCTTTCTTTCTTATCGTTTCATCTCTATCATTCATTCCTTTCTTTCTTTCTTTCTTTTTTCTTTCTTTCTTTCTTATCGTTTCATCTCTATCATTTCTCCCTTTCTTTCTTTCTTATCATTTCCTCTCTATCATTCATTCCTTTCTTTCTTTCTTTCTTTCTTTCTTTCTTTCTTATCGTTTCCTCTCTCTCATTTTTTCCTTTCTTTCTTTCTTTCTTTCTTATCATTTCCTCTCTATCATTTATTCCTTTCTTTCTTTCTTTCTTTCTTTCTTTCTTTCTTATTGTTTCCTCTCTCTCATTTTTCCTTTCCTTTCTTTCTTTTCTTTTTCCTTTTTTCTTTTTCTTTCTCTCTTTCTTATCATTTTTTCCTTTCTTTCTTTCTTTCTTTCTTTCTTTCATATCGTTTCCTCTCTCTCATTTTTTCCTTTCTTTCTTTCTTTCTTTCTTTCTTTCTTTCTTTCTTTCTTTCATATCGTTTCCTCTCTCTCATTTTTTCCTTTCTTTCTTTCTTTCTTTCATATCGTTTCCTCTCTCTCATTTCTCCCTTTCTTTCTTTCTTGTCGTTTCCTCTCTCTCATTTCTTCCTTTCTTCCTTTCTTTCTTGTCGTTTCCTCTCTATCATTTATTCCTTTCTTTCTTTCTTTCTTATCGTTTCCTCTCTCTCTCATTTCTTCCTTTCTTTCTTTATTTGTTATTGTAAGAATTGTGTAAGAACCTGGACACGAATTTGAATCGATAAAGAGAAGTGCTAGTCAAATAATTCATAATATAAAATAAATCGTTCAGGGAAATCTAACTCTTTAAAAACTATAATTGAATTAATTTATATAAGTTTTACATAAAATTTGCCACAACTACTTCTAAAACAATAAAATACTTAATGAAAACTAAACAAAATAATAATAAGATAAAACTTGTAGGAGAAATTTACTCTATAGCCTGTAATGATTGCTACAAGGAATATATAGGAGAAACCTCGAGGAATTCAAATAAAGATTATATGAACATAAGAGAGTTCTTTTAAAAAACAACACACTGAAGGCATTAATTCCTCACCGTACTGAGTTTGACCACACATTCAATTTAGAAAATGATACTTTAATTAAAAGAGAAAATAATTCCCTAAATATTGCGCATATAGAAAGTGCTTTGACTGCTACGGTAAATTTGTGTCCAGTTTCTTTCAACATTTCACCTTTCCCGGAACGTATTCAATTATCACAATATAAGAGAATAATTAATATTAATAATAATAATAATAATAATAATAATAATAATAGTGAGACAAAAGTACAGGGAACCGGAATTAGATCGACTAGACTGCATGTCTTGCGTCTGAAAAAAATTGAATTTAAAAATGCCAGCATTCCAACATCTTCAGTATTTCTTGTGACTGCATAATTTTAACTGACGCACGTCCTTTTTATATTACCCCCCTTTCCTGCTCCCATATATATATATATATATATATATATATATATGTATGTATAATTCCATTAAAAATAGCATTACTTTGGTCATTCTAGAGGATGAAACGGATTACACAGAATCTTTTCAACTTTGTCATTCATACACGAATATATGAGAATTTACTAACAGAAAACAACGCTGTTGCGTTCTTTCTAACAGCTTAGCGTACAAACGATGAGTAGAAGAGGCACAACGATGACATAGTTCAGTGGTTCCTCATAGAAGCGCCGGACTAGGATAGCAGGTGAGGCTGAATGATTGAAAGACAATCAAAATATTAGAAACTGTTTCAAAAAAGCCATATGCAAAAAATAAACATGATTTCAAAAATTGATTACTTTTTATTCCATCTACAAGTCCCAGCATAAATAATTATAAATAATTATTGACCAATTTTATCATTGTGTTATTTTTGCATAATATGAATCATTAATAATATAGTAATTGGGCTTCTAAAATTGGAGGAGAGAGTTATCAATGATAATGTCCTGACTTCGAATCCGCGGTTATCTCCCTTTAACCCTCTCTTTATTTTGTTTTGTATTTATTATTAATTTTACTTTTTATAACACATTTGGAGCGAGCTACTTTTCATTCCGAAAATATGGTACAGAGAAAAATAACCAAACATAGGTGTTCATAGTTGGAATAAAAATTATATTTAACGAAATCCAACAATCATTACTAAATGTTTCGGAAAGTAGGAAAATATGATCTGGAATTGTAACGAAAGTATTGATTGTACATATTATGAATTAATCATAAAAATTCAAAAATGTGGAATCAATAAATACCTCGATGTATGGATCAACTACAACTAATTTTCTATATGGCATTTTTTTCTATTAGTCGTTTCCAATAACGGCATCCCAAATTTTCAGGAAACGGTTCTATAAAAGCAGATAATCTTATTTTTCTCTTAAATCTGACAATGGAAGTAAATCACTTTATAGTATCAAAAAGAAACCATTAAGATATTTCTAGATTGAAATTCTAATGTATTCATATTTCTCTTCAGAAGTATGATGTTTTTTTTATTCTAGTGTCATCAGCTGTGCTATGTTTTCTTAGCCACATTCGAAAACTTATCAAAATTATGACTAGCAGATTTGTCAAATTTTTAACTTCAAGACGATTGTCAGGATAAATTATGTTAATCTCAGAAAACCCTCTTTCAGCCTCCGCATAACTTACACCAATGACATTAATTATATTTTTAGCTATTATATATCGGCTATTGATATATAAGATTGTTTTCGGATCAACAACCGACTCGCTAAGCTTTTATAATTTTAAGAATCGGTTTGCGCGAACCGGTGGGACGCTACCTCTGCTCGATTCCTTATCGGAAAAAATGGAATTATTAGGTATTCATTCATCGAGTGGGATAGGTTTGTCCAACACCGGAATGTACTACCATACCAAATTATTAACTTAAGAACTCAAAATCAGGTTCTAAAACAGCTCTCATATTTGAATGTCATGCATGCGTCCACCTCATTCAGAAATATCTTGACCTTCAGCTATATACAACCTTTTTTTTTCTCAGATCAATGATTAAAAATATAAAATTAAAGAAGACAACAATTTTATCAGATCTGGCGCTACAGAATCGCAAACAAATAAAATAAGAAAAAGATAATTCACTTGGAGATTTCACACAGCTCTAACGAATAAAATGGATGCCACATATAATCAAGATATTGATTTTCCACACAACTGTAAACAAAAGAGTAAAAAGGAAACGCCCATCAATACAAGAAGGTGCAATAACAGTGGAATTGAGAAACCTATTGTCCTGAAACTTTTTCGAAGAGGAAAGTTTTATAAGTTTCACCCGATGATAATGCAAACTGTTCGACGAATAACTGCGGAATATTTCTTGTATGGATACCGTGCGTAATTTTGCGTTACGTTTCGTCTCTGGGTTGTGATTGTCATTACGCAGTTCCTCAGTAGGAAACCCAACGCTACATTAACAGAATGAATCAATGAGAATTTTCCCCCTTTTAATTTTGTAGGGTCACAGTTGGCCTCATTTCTTGGAGGAAGCACGTGAAGTACGTGAAAGAGTGAGAAAGAAATTGTGTATATCAGCTACCATCTCTCTACTTGTTCGACAATATCACTGCTTTGAAATTACATGTGTTTGTCACTTATGTTTAATCATTAAAACCAGAAATAAAGTTAATAATCTAGATGGAAGAAGGCTCGGTTGAGCATCAGAGCTCTTGGTTACTCTCCTGTCACCACCGGACTGTCAATTTTCGCCTGTTTTTAAATTTTATATTATAATTTAAACGCTGAGGGTAACCTCATTGTGGTGTAATGGTTAGCATGTTTTTCTCGATAGAATAATTAAAACTGAGTAGTTAGTTAGATCCTCACAGCACGCTTAAAAAATCAATCGAGAGTTTAACCTATCTACACTCCGTGTCGTTTCATTCAAAGTTCAAACAACTTCGGTGGAGTTCCGGATGATAATCACCGTACAAGTTACATTTACTTAGTACTCGTTTTGTATAGTAAAAGTAATAAAAAAATGATGCTGCATACTTCATTTCCATTATTACTTTACCATGCATATTGTAGATTTTACAAAAATATTGATACTGTGTCTTTTAATTACAGTAATGGTGATAGTAGTTTCGGATGACTGTAAAGATAATAGCTCGTAAAAATATGTTGAAAATCTCTGGTGTGAAACCAGAATTTTTTCTTGATTCTTATCGAAGCTCCCGATCGATTCTCGTTCCCTTTGCTGCACCACTGAAGATGTACTTGAAACAGGAGCATTTTAAGTTGAAAAACATCGACTGAAAGATTTTCTGGCATAATTCAACAACGAACTGTCAAAACTATTTAAGGAAGAAAGCGACACCGTAAATTCCTACTTCGTCTCTCTACTTTAGTGCCAACTGCAGGGTTGATGCGAACAAGCAGATGTCAGAAGAGATTTCAGTTATTTTCTGCTATAAACAGGTGTTCCGGGAATATTGACGAAAGCACAGTCGATCGCTGACGTTACCCGCAACATGTATTTATGTACAATGTTTCGATCCAGAATGTTAGATATTTTTCCCTTGTCGTCCACGTTTGCGCCTTTAGCAGTTAGCGTTTGAGAATCACAGTTGTCCAAACGGCATGGAAATCAACAATTTGCTTCCACATGTCAACATGTTTGCTCTCGACGCATTCCAAGCTGACGGCCATATTGCGTTGAAACACAGGTTCTCGTACGATGACCGATCGAGCCTCTGGTCAGGACCTGAATGTGGGATTGCTTGGAAATAGCAAGTGCTGATGTGCAAATGGTTTAATTGGTAACAGCCTGGAATTAGAAATCAGGGAATTGAGTTCTATTTTCAGTCAGCGTCGTTATGTTTTCTTACGCAAAAATATTCCTGGAGATGGTAAGAATCAACCCCTTCTCCCTCGAACCTATGGGTTAATTAGTATCATCAATTTTTTTTTAATTCCAAAAATATTCTTTAGCTTTAAATAAGATGCAAAATGTTGATAAACCGTAAAAATCAAATCAAGCATTCAATAAAAAAAACTAGTGCCGTACCACAATGCATAACGACTTTAGTGAATTGTCGATCATCATTTGTTTTATTCGTTCAAAATCACAACCAGAATATCGACATTATCCTGGTTATTGATCGAATTGTAACTCTGTTGGTGTTCTTGTCTCTGCTGTCAACTGTGATTCGGTTCTACGGCCGTTTATGGTAACGGCTAACAGTCAATTTTTTTTTCAATATTTTGTAAGTTTCTTTTTAGTTTGGTTTTGTTTGGTTTGTTTTATGGCATATCAACCTCAAAGCGTTATTTAGTGCTAAAAATGCCGGTAATATTTATTTTAAAAAATGTATTGCCGGTAATATTTTTTAAAAAAATATATTGCTGGTAAAAAATTTTCCTTCAAAAATTCATTGCTAGATATAATTTTGAACGAAAAATTATTGCTGGTATTTAAACCTATTTTTACACTTTCATGGTGTTTTGACCCCAATTTGGGGGAGCAAATATTTACCCATAGCTGGAACCCTAACAGGTGCTACAACCCCGTGTTAATTGCTGAATTAAGAGGTGGTTCTACGCTCCTCAAAACCACTTAATCAGAGGCATTGCTGTTGGATGTAGTTTATCGTCTTACCCAAGATGCGGATGTAGTTTATCGTCATACCAAGGACGCAGTTTGTTTTTCATAAGATCGTGAGAGATTCAATGGCCAAAATACACGAAAGTTCCGAGGCACTAACAATAACACGACATTCGTAGCTAATTATTCACCAAAACTGGCATGATTAAAGATCGGACATCCAAGGAAAGACATATCCCTATATTTTCGATATGGAATTTCACCAGGTCATTTATAGATTCACTCCAAATTTCGCACTCGGTGACATTTTTCTTCTTTAGTACGCCCACTGCTTCGTTAGGGAGACATTGCAACCAGCAATTTTGGAAATGATCAAGCATTTTTTCCCGAACTAAATGATTTAGAATGAAGATACATTGTCCCTTTTTCGAATCGTTCTCTCTGCATTCTACGTCCGAATGCAACAAGGTTTGACGCTGTACGATCTGTTAAACATCTCGTGAGTGAGCATCTATGCTGTACTTGTAATGCTAAAAAAATCGTGTCTCGAGGTTAATTTTGAAAGTGTAACCAGGGGATTCATTCCTGAAAGTCTTTTGACAAGAAGAATTAGTATTTCAAAAGACTTGCCTTTGTCAAGTACATAGATGAAAAGGAGAACTACTTTGAACTTTGCAAAATAATTCGTTCAAGTGCGCTAAATGCGATGCAGAGTGCGAAAGAGGAATTTGATTTACGCTATCGATCTAAAACCAGACGAATCGATATTGGTATTACGGACAACCTTTGTTCGATTTTTGAAATCTCGATCAACCAATTCATAGTTACATCATCGACATTTCAAGACAATGACATTTGGACACTGAGATGAATAAACATTTTCTATTGACTATAGATTGTATTATAACTACATAATTATTAAACGATGGAATATTTGAAAGGAGTGATAAATAATAGAATGATGTGGTTGCAACAAATACCCGTTAACAACATCCACCCCGTAATTCTTTTCGAACATTTAACTCTTATTTATATTATTTCCTCGCTGACCTTTGCTCCAATCATTGTTGTAATTATAACAATGTTTCGACCGGTCAGCTTTCCTGCCTTCAATCCGGCTAAACTTCTGGAAATTTCGAGATGAATCCTCGGGACAATAGCTTAAAGCGTTGGTTCAAGAATTTGCTGACGTATTAAATGCGAGTTCAATCCCTGCCCGCGCCTCGAAGTTTGTACTTGGAAATGGAGCGAGACATAACTGAGCAGTACAAAAAGTTAAGAACTTGGCGAAATATCCTGAAGACGTGGGCAAAGGAACAAGAACATTTTGCACGCGTCCATTAAATAAACGGTTCAGTTCGAAATTCCCTGAAGGTTACAAGAATACACAAAACGCACGACATTAAAATAACTCGATAAAATGTCATAATTTCCTGTAAAAGCCATGAGAGGCATGGAAAACCTGCAGTAAAAAAACACGGTTTGTAGAGGACTTCACACAGATTTGCAACTATGATGATTATGCTGATGACAATGGCTCTTCTTGCTGCCAGTCGTTAAAAGTTGGCAATTTCTTATTTAAAATTATGTAAATGCTTTAAAAACATTACATTCAGGACGATATTTAATGTGACTTGTGGAAACAAGAAAAGGCAGAAATTATTGGAACAAAATCAAAGAAGGATTTCATATTATTATCGAAGTTTGACAACAGAAATTTATAGCTTTGGGAACAGTAAATGATAAAAGTCAAATAGAATTATAATATCTATAGATATTGGAACAACCACCATAGAAAAGACTTTGAGAACTATCGAAGAACGATCAATGCCAATAAGAAAAAATCAAACCTTCCAATAAAAAAATTTAAAGAGCAACATTTTTGTGATTTAGCAAAGGTCAAGGAAGTTATGGAAAAGACTGATCAGACAAATGCTCAAAATTGCTGTACATGTGAAATCACACAGAATTCAAGTTGAAGCTGCCATGATGATGATGATGATGATGACTGAAAATAAATCTAATACTTGAAGATGGAAAAAAATGGTAAAATTTTATCAGAAAAGCATATGATAATTAGGATGAGAATGATGATGATGAGTAACAAAAATTCTAATGCATGAATATGTCCAAAGTGGCTAAAATTAATATCAGATAATTTGATGATTAGGAATATGATTATGATGATGATTTAAAATAACGCTAATCCTTGAAGATAGCTAAAATTAAATTAATATCATAAAAATATTAGGAACTGTATCTGTAATATATGATTAGAAATATTTTTAATAAAAAGCAATGAAAATCTTCCTCCCAAACTATTTCCGTGTCTTCAATAAATCATTCATTCATATATATATATATATATATATATATGTGTGTGTGTGTGTGTGTGTGTGTGTGTGTGCGTGTGTGTTTGTGTGTGTGTATGTATTCTGTCCTGTTTTTCTTAATAATTTTTACTAGTATTACTTAGTACTAGTATTATTTTGATTTTGTGTTTCTTTTGTTCACTTCAAAAAGTGACCATCCGAGATGGTCTGAAGAATTGTCAATTACTAATATTTAATTAGTACTTCTTTCATTCTTTTCTCTTTCCTTTGCATCTTTTATTGACAATCGCAGGTTATCTGAACTATTAGATGAAGAACTGTCAATTATTAATTTGTGTAGATTTTGTATGTACCTTTCAGATTATCAAGCCAGCCTTGTCTGATATTAGCAGAGTCCAAGAATACAGTATTACTTTGGAAATCTTACTACTATATAAAACTCTCTTAACTTTTCATCTTATCTATAAAACACACGAAATTCGGCCCCAAGCAGGATAAGCACAGCTGTCATCAAGGTCCACGTCACTCTCGCTTGTGAACTCCACGGCCTCATGCTAAAAACGACACCACTGACAAACTTCAAAGAGATCACATTTTCAAAATAGAATCAAATATTAAAAAATTAAACAGGGATTTAGTTTTACTCAGAGAATACAGTTTCCACAGAAAGCTTTCGAAACACCACCCACAAAACTAATCATTAAAAAACTATTAGGCTAAAATCAATTTTTTTATAGTAAGACAACACATGAAAAAAGACACAAAATTAACCGGAAGGTTAATCCCAATTCATTGTTTATTTCTCGTATCGGTGTAATATATATATATATATATATATATATATATATATATATATATATATATATATATATAACGGCATTAAGATGACTTAAAGATTGCTTTCAAGCACGAAACAGACTGTCGTCATTGTTCAGATGTTATCAGAATAAACAAATGTTAACTGATTGACTGATTTGTTGTTTACTATTTGTCAAACGTTTTCACGTTATTTAAAGCCAGATAATATCTGTGGATTAGAAAAGTTTGGGGCGATAGAAATGACAATGATACAAGCTCTACGAATTAACCCATAGCTGGATGGAGGAGAAGTGGGTACATAACTTTCCAAAGCGTATTTACGTGTAACTGAATATAACGAACCCAACTTGATTTAGAACTTGGCTATCCTCTTTCAAATTCCGAACCGTTATCCACTACACCACCGCACACGTAAGCTTTCAGCACATGGTATTCCCAAGTGGTTACCCATGAAGGTATTGACCAGCTCGATACTGCTTAACTAAGACGGTGATCGTGTGAGAACCGGTGTTTCAACGAGAAATGGCCGTAAGCCGTGCCAAAGTTAAACTTTTCCACAAACACACACATATCGTAAAACTATACCACCCCTCTTCTTCCTCCAAAAACCCTAAATACATCTCCTTTCTCTTTACTTCCCACTTTTTTCTTTTTCTCTTTTCTCTCCTTCCCTTTCAACATATCATTTCCGTTGAGGTGACCGATTAAATAGGTCAATGTCTGATCCTTACCCCCTCCTTCCTCAATACTAACTATGATAGAAAGAAATATAAAATTAAACCCTCTCTAAACTCGATCATGTCTCTCAAACCACTCCTCACTACCTTCTCTGTTAAATTAATTAAGCTTAATACTACCCTTAAAAAGTGTAAATTTTCATTTCATTTTTCGTTTCACCTTTTGAAAGTGATGTCTGAATATCCAGGGTACTTTAAAAAGTCTCTGGTGAAATAAACTATTACAATGGAGCCTTAAGTGGCCTGTTTTTCTTTAAATTGTATATATATATCTATATCTATATATATCTATATATATATATATATATATATACAAGTGTCGGTGTTTGTCAAAGTTCGCCTGTTTCTGCAAGTGCATCACTCGGTCTGTGTTTTTCTCTCTGTGGCTTAATGCATCGGAGTCAATGTTTAAGATTGCGTCTGTGTCTTATTTTCTTTATGTGTGTGTCTTTGCGTGTGCGTTTTATTCACCTCCAAGAAGACGTCATTTTTTTCTGACTCATTCGAAAATAGTTTAAATGTCTTGTTAGAAATAGAAATTACTTAGGTAATAAATTCTCAGTCTGGAATAATGGCGATGAGAAAAATCTTCGACTTACTTACCTCTCTTTATGGGTCAGGGTGTTGGGACGAGGGTGTACAAAAGCATGCTCGTTCGGGAGACTGTTGAATGCGCATGCGTACAGAAAGCGCTATTTATACGTTGATGTATCTTCAAAGAGAAGGGTGGATACGATATTTTTTTATTTCCATATACTTAGAAAAAAATTGTTCGCAGAATAAACATGAATCTCTCTGCCCAGACGATGATAATGCAGTCTTTGGCAAAGTTTCTATGAAGACACACAATGCATTAGGTCTATAATACTTAGGCATTATTAGACAGATAGATAGATAGATAGATAGATAGATAGATAGATAGATGGTACGATAGGTGAATTGTTGTTATTTTATCATTTTAATTTCGCGCATGCATGTGGTTTATTTTTGATTTTGCCGACAGCACAGTAGAGTGGGATCACTTAGACATTCTCTGTAAGAAAAAAAACCCCACTATGACACAATTCACTCCACCAGGAATTTGGAAACGGCGTGCTGTACTGCTTGGCATTTGCGCCGGAAAATTCAATGCGAATATTTCAGTGTTTGGATGTCAATCTGAGGAGTGTGCAGAGGATTAGCAATGAGTTTGTGGTTATTACTCAATCTGATTGTTCTGATGAGAAAAGAACTCCCTAATTTTTGGTTAAAGCCACAGACAACACGGAGGCCTATATCATGCCTTGAGGGAGTTGTGATGCCAAGGCGGTGGCAACAGGAGTCTGCATCATGTCACACAAGCAGGTGAACAGTCATGCCCGTCAGACACTTTCTGCGGCCACATCACCTGGCCACCTAACTACCCAAACTGCAGGGCGCAGTTGAGCCAGAGACCAGCAAAACACCTTGTAACATCAAAAATGAACTGAAGGCAACGATTATGGCAGTATTCACCAAATTAAACAAGGAGACAGTCCAGAATTCTTCTGGAGGCCGTGGTTGAAATCAATAGCATAGTATGCCAAGATATTTTTGTGTAAGTTTGCTAAATATATCTGTTAATATAGGATATCAGATTTATATTCATTTTTGCGTAATTTAGACGACAATTTATTAATTGCACCCTGATAGATACATAAATAAGTGATTTAGATACATAGATAGATAGATAGATAGATAGATAGATAGATAGATAGATATGGACATACTGAGATAGTGTTGTGGAGTAAATAGAGGGAAGAGGTTGACACAGTTGCGACTCTGTCTTCGGCTGAGAAAAACAGACCAGTGCTGTACCCGTGCACACTTTTGAAGGGGCTGGGTAAATTTTGACCAGTATCCTGGGTGGAAACGCTCGAGTTCCCCCAAGAAAACTTGGCCTTTTTTGCATCTAGTCCATAGAGGGGTTATTGGTAAATACCTGCTCGACAGAGTCAGGCCGTCCGCTGTTTGTCTCGCGACAAGACAAGACCTCTGTCTTCTGACAAAGACTGACAAGCCCTCCGTCTTCGGGCGGAGGATGACTCGGGGCACTGTCTATGGGTAAATACTTGGCTGAGAAAAACAGACAAGTTGGAGTCAGGCAGTGCGCTGTTTGGTTTGCTACTGAAAATAGCTCTGTCTTCGGACATAGGGTGACTCAGTCGTGACTCAGGTCTTCGGATAAAGAGTCAGCTGAGAAAAACAGACCATTACTGTACCCGAGCCCGCTTTTACGGTGGCTAGGTTCATTTTGGCAATTGGCCCGTATGGAAACGCTCGTATTCCCCATAGTACACTTGTGTCGCATCTAGTTCGCAGCGGCGCGACCGGTAAATATCAGCTCGCCAGTGTCAGGCAGTCCGCTGTCTGGCTCGCGACCAATCAAGATCTCTGTCTTCGGGCAGAGGGTGACAAGACCTCCGTCTTCCGGCGGAGGTTGAGTCAGTCGGGGCTCTGACTTCAAATAGAGAAACGGCTGAGAAAATAGGTAATTAGCCTAATCCCTCCGTTTCGGAGGCGGGGGGTAAATTTTGACCATTGACATGTGTGTAATGACTCGGTACCTCACAGAAAATATGACCTTGTCTCACACCTCGTCTGAGAGTGGGTAAATCTTAGTTCGTCAGAGTCATGGAGTCCACTGCCTGGCCCGCGACTGTCACGTTCTCTGTCTTTGGGCAGTGTACGTGCGTGATAGTCGGGGCTCTGTCTACAGACGGAGACTGGGCTGAGAAGGATAGGCATTGAATGTGCCCGATCTCGACGTTGCGGAAGCTGGGTAAATTTTAACCTTTGGCTCGAGTGTACGCGCTCGGTTTCGCCACTCTAAACTCGACCTTGTGTTACATCTTGTCTAAAATGGGTGGGTAAATTTTGACTTCTGGCCAAAGTGGAAACGCTCGGATTCCCCACTCTAAACTCGACCTTGTGTTACATCTTGTCTAAAATGGGTGGGTAAATTTTGACTTCTGGCCAAAGTGGAAACGCTCGGATTCCCCACTCTAAACTCGACCTTGTGTTACATCTTGTCTAAAATGGGTGGGTAAATTTTGACTTCTGGTCAAAGTGGAAACGCTCGGATTCCCCACTCTAAACTCGACCTTGTGTTACATCTTGTCTACAATGGGGAGACTGTGTAAATACAAGCTCGCCATTGTCAGGCAGTTCAATGTCTTCGGGCAGAGGGTGACACATTCGTATCTCTACCTTTCGAATAGAAAAATGGCTGAGAGAAACGGTCCAGTACTGTACCCGAGTCTGCTTTTGCGAGGGTGGGTAAATTTTAACGTGTGGCCAAAGTGGAAACGCTCGGATTCCCCACTCTAAACTCGACCTTGTGTCTCATCTTGTCTCATCTGGGTAAATACCAGTTCGCCATGGTCAGGCAATCCGCTATCTGGCTCCTGTCACTTCTCTGTCTCAGTCGGGGCTCTTTCTACGGACGAAACTCGGCTGAGAAAATTGACAATGCAAAATGTCCAAATTCCACAGTTGCGGATGCTGGGATAAATTTTGTCCTTTGTCCCCAAATGTACGCACTAAGGTTCTCCACAGTAAACTTGACTTTGTGTCACATCTCGTCAAAGTAAGGAGACGAGGTAAATACCAGTTTATTGGAGTTAGGCAAAAGTTGTAATACGTGTCGCACGTGCACGCCTCATCATCTACAAAGTGCGACCAATGTTTTGACGTGGTTGAGCGGCTACCAAAAAGTCCAAAAAGCAAAACATATCACACTGGTCGATCTTGCTGATGAAAGAGTGAATGGGGTATAATGAAATCCTCTTAAAAGTCGAATGCCTAGAACACATGGCTGTAACCATATATATGATCAATATTTATATTGCTTTCGATATTTTTGTGAGCTAATACATATCTCTACAATAGCTCCGGTCACTTCAAAATACCAAGGATTCATCGAATTCTTTCTATTACCATGATATAATGGACTACCTGCCTAGTTTCAGGACAAGAAAGAAGCCTTCAACTTTGATGGTCTGGAGAGAACAAAGAAGCGATGTAGATGATTTTATTTTTGTCTAAAAAGAAATACAACTCGTCTCAACACTTCTTTTAAAAAAATCAAATATCCCAAGCCTCTTCCAGCTATGAAACCTGTTTGTCAGATGATACCCTTGTTCTTACACCCACAGCACATAAATATCGTATTCTTTCATCATATGAAAAATTGACTTCAGAGGAAAATTCTGTCAAGTCGGTCTCTAATGTCCCAGTTTATTCAGAAGCAAGTGGCATTGAGCCTCACTGGGTCACCGAGGAAGATCTGAATGTCCTTACCTGTGATTTGAATCGATCTAACCAGAGTAAGATGTACTAGCATCCCAGCTTAGGCAGTTGAACCTGATCACGGAAGATGTAAGAATCACCATTCTCAGGAGACGAAACAAGGACTTCGCCTCATTCTTCGCCATGAAAAATAGCTTATGCAACTGCATAGCTATTTTTTATATCTTAAATGAATTGATAGCATGGAAAGCATTTACTTTAGTCCGCTATGACGCTTTTAGCAATACACGGGTACCAGATTACCAAGAGTGTATCGAGAAGTTGTTGCAGACTTATGAGGATTAGGGAGTTCAGATATCATTCAAAATTCACTTTCTTCACTCCCACATTTAACTTCTTCAGAGCAGTCAGTGATGGGCATGGAGAAAGGTCCCGCCAAGATATTACTAAAATGGAAAAAAACTACCAAGGCAAGCGACATAGCGGATGTGATGAACATCGGGTTGTCCAAAAAACTCACTCTGTC